AAACCAGCACCCATTTACTCCAAATGTAGCTTAGATATGTTCTGTGTCTGGTGTTAGCCTACTGGAGCGATGATGCTAATGTTGCTAACAAGTAACAGAAGTGTATAGCCTCCAGTTTAGCATGCTAGCGTCTCCTCAGTCGGCTTTGTGGCGGTGTTCAAAGTCTCCAACTGATTCATTTACCCCGTTTCTGACTCACTGTTATCTATAAACTTGAACAAAAGAGACCCGAAAAATATAACGTTTTGTTGTTGTTGTTTTGTTGTGATTGGTGTGAGTGATATTTGATTTCACCATGTTATGCCCTGAAATAAGACGTGAACTTAATTGTGAATAATATGTGAATGAATGAATCTCGTGAGAAAATCACATGTGAAATCAAATCACGTGTAAATAAATGAATCATTTGAAAAAATTAGAATGTGGAAATAAATTCTGTAAAAAAAAAAGGAATTGTGTGAAAAAAATCATGTGAAAATTAAACTCTGTGCACTACATATGATAAATGTGTCATTATTCACAATGTGAGGTTCATGTGACTTTACTGTAAAACTCACAGAGACAAAAAAAAGAGTCATGAAACTCAATCACTTTCTCAGTTAGCATCAGACTCAGGTCAGGGGTGTGGCCTAAATTCTGAAGGGCGGAGCTTGTACAGTAGAAGTGATTCAGATTATTATTAATACAGATTCACACTGTTATTTCGTGAAACTGTTTGTGCTAATGGTGTTGCTGAGACACACGATGTCAGCTTGCACAAGGCTAAACTGGAGACTATAAGCTTCCTTTACTTGTTAGCAACATTAGCATCGTAGCTTGAGCACAAATCCAAAGAAGGAAACCACACACACTGAACACGTCTCAACTGATCCACTACAATGTGGAATAAACAGCACATTTACCTCATTTATCATTTACCTCATGAATTTGATTGCAAATAATTCCATGAATGAACACAAAGGGACAAAAGTAATGGTGCCCTGTAAAAAGAGGAAGAGAGTAGTCGCCATTTTGTTGTTTTCAGCTCGCTGTGAGCTTTGCCTTTTATGGAGTTTTGTGGGCATGGCTAAATGTAAATCAGCTGCGCCGTGAACACTCTTCAGAATTTACGGTTGATTGGCGTTTACATGAGCACAAAGAAAAATAAGAGGTAAATCTGGAGGGAATTTTTTAGTTCGGTTTAGCCACAAAAACATTTACACGCAACTTTATTGAAAGATAAAGATAAACGAGGCTGAATGTTTGGAAATTGTTAGAGTATGACAAACACACATATCCGCTCTCTCTCTCACACACACACACACACACACACCGCAACTGACGCCATGAGGTGTTTATCAAGTCCAGACATCAAGTCACACACACACACACACACACACACACACACACACACACACACACACACACACACACAGTGACTAAGTATGTATGCAGTTCAGTAATAGATTATGATAAGCTGTCTTGGAACAGACTAAGGAAATAAAACAAATGAACACGTGTAACATCGCTGTCATCAGATCACCGTAAATCATTTCCACATGCGAGTGCCGAAACTCCAAACACACTCTGCGAGTTTCTCGCTTCTAAACAGCTTCTCTGACTGACTGCATCCTGTTTCTCTGGAACCAAATAAAAACAATGAGCTGGATGAGTGTGCCATATGTCCACCTATTACTAAATAATTAATTGGGCACCACACACACACACACACACACACACACGCACACACACACAGAGCTCCTGATGTTTGTGTTTACACAGACAATGACTTCCACACTTGTTTACAGTAAATTCATGACAGCGCTCTAACAGTTGTTTACTCGTGTGGCTAATTTTCTGCTTCTTTGGAGAGAATTTTGACTGTCAGACATTTTTAGCCGCTCAGTTACATCATCGGACAACATGGGTGAGATTTCAGGGTGTAGAACGACTGCAGCAGCGCCACTCTGGCGTCGGGTAAAATCCAACCGTGGAGCAAGTTCAAACTGCCACACATGAAAATCTCGCTAGATAAATTGCTGCGACATGCTTGCTTTCTCTACATTTTTTACGCACACAACTGCGACGTCCTTACGTCACTTCTGCACGTCCGTTTGAATAAACTGCTGGATTCATCCACTCTTGCTAGAGATCATTATGAAAAACCCAGTTTGTGCCATCTAGGAAAACTGAAACATGTGTAGTGGTGTACACGCCGCTCTACACTGAGTGTTAGCGTTGTTTTCAGAGTTTGTGCTAATTCTATTTGGAAGTTTGTGAGGAATCATGAGTGTGACCTGGGGTACACCTATAACACCTGTAATTTCATTAAATCATGGATGTCACGGACTGGGTCCCTGGAAGACCAGTGGTTAGGCCACAGTGTTCTCATCTCTGTGGCCCGGGTTCAATCCCTGGCCAGGGAACCAACCCCAGCCACTTGGGGTTGCGCGCAACAGTGCGTGCTCAGTCCCGGTCCCAAGCCGGGATAGAATTAGGGAGGGTTGCGTCAGGAAGGGCATCCGATGTAAAAACTGTGCCAAATCAAATACTTAGACCAACGATCCACTGTGGCGGTCCCTAACGGGAGTAGCTGGATGAGGAACAACAGCAATAGATGTCATAGACTCAGCTGACAATGCCAATCCACACCACCAGAGGTCCCCATCTCCAGAGTATTAGCTCACCTATGATCAGTCATGTCCTCGTTCCCGGGCACCAAGACAACTCCCGATTTTCATGCACAATTTGCATTTTCTGGATTGGATTTCACTGTGTTTTGATTTTCGAGCATGTAAAGAAATGTTTTTTTTTATAACTTGCAAACTGAAAATGCAAATACGATCAACGTCCAGGATTTTAAGCACCAATTTAAAAACACATAAACATGGTCAGCTTGTTTATTTATTTATTTATTTATTTGTTGATTAGTGAACTTGTTAGGCTACAAAGGTGCTAGTGTTAATTAGCATTGTAGTAATGCAGTGAAGCAGAACTGTTTTGACAGGGCGTGACAGATGACCTCAGGTATCACTCGCTCACGGTTAGCACTGCAGATAATAAGTGCTACTGTACAGGAAGCAGTGGAGTAGGTTCTGGATTGTTATCTTGTCCAAATGATCATAAAATAGCCAGTAGACAGCACTTTCAGGTTCTTCAGCGTTCTTGTGCAGGAGGATGTGCGGATGTTTCTGGACTCGGGTCAGGGATGGAGGTCAGCGTGGAGTTGGAGCTACAACTGGACATCAGGCCTGAATCGGAATCCGAAACTGCCATATCTTCAAACTTCTGTATCACAGCCCTCACTGATCCAAACGCAACGTCCCGCCTCCACCGCCCACGCCCCGCCCCTTCAGGTCCACGATAGGCCGAGTTGCGGCTAAGAAAGACATGGTTGGGTGGAGGCAGGCCTGGGCGGAGCTTCAGCCTTCCCTGGCCCAGCTGGAATGCAGGGCAAAGAGGAGGAGTGAAGATGGACGGGATCGTGGCAAGAAGTTCTTCTGTTAATGGGTTGTGGAATGTGAGGGAAGCCCCGCCCACATTAAAGAACACACCCACCGTTTTAAGCTGTGGCGGGACCGAGGGGAGGAGCTCGCGCCTGCCATCAAACACAGCATGGAATCCAGAGCCGTGCCTCTCAAACCACCACGCCTCACCATCAGCCAATGAGCTCACACCTGCAGGAGAGGGGGGGCGTGGCTAACATGAGTACACGTTTCTAATCGGACAATAGAGTAAGGGAGCAAAGGCAACTAAACAAACATTAATTTTGGATTTCTTACGCTGTGTCGCTCTATGTATTAACTTAAGAAGTAAATTAGCAGCAAAACATTTTTCCATCACTTTAACAAATGTCACATCTGTGAAAAAAACCATTTTCACGCCTATAATTTCAGACAGATTTTATGAAGTATTCAGTAACATCGAACAAATTCTAATTTGTCTTTTGTTTCAGCTAATGTCCTCAATATCTTGGAGCGTTACCTAACTTATACAGTATACCTCAAATATTTACTTTTAATTCATTAATAATTATAATATTTATTTTTATATTTATAACATTTGCATTTCCATTGAAATTGTTCTGAAAATATTTTTTTTAAATTATAATTATAATTATTTTTCTCCAAAAATAAAATATAGAAATTAAAAAAGTGTGAAATTCAAATAAAAAATATAAAAATGTAAAATAAATAATTTAAAATGAAAATTTAATTATATTAAATGGAATATTTTTAAAATATGCATTAAATGAACCAGAGTTAAACACTGCAGGGCAAGTAACAACGGCTCAGTAGAGTTTCTTACTGTTTCTCCGTTTTTCCTCTCTGTTTCTTACTGTTTGTCTCTTTTTCTCTTCGTTTTTCACTGTTTCTCTCTTTCTCTCTGTTTCTCTGTTTCTGCTTCCCTCTTTTTCTCTGTTCCTTGTTGTTTCTCTCTTTTTCTCTCTGTTTCTCACAGTTTCTTGCTGTTTCTCACTGTTTTTTGTTGTTTGTCCCTGTTTCTCTTTGTTTCTCGCTGTTTCTCTTTGTTCCTCTCTATTCTTCATTGTTTCTCTCTGTTTCTTGCACTCTCTCTTTGTTTTTCATGATTTCTCTCTGTTTCTCGCTGTTTTTCGTCGTTTCTCTCCCTGTTTCTCGCCGATTCTGTCTGCTTCTCTCTGGTCCTCGTTATTTCTCTCTATTTCTCACTGTTTCTTGCTGCGCAGGTTTCAGGACATTTTTATGAGGATTTGAAGACTGAACTCTCTGAGTGAATGGAAGAGAGCAGACCTCATTCCTGACCTCACGCAACTGTTTCATTCCAGACCGAATCCAACATGCCTGCTAACAGAGTTCAGTTGAAACCACATTAATAAACACAGCCACTGGGTGGCGGTAAAGATCTGACTGAGTTTATTACAGCGACCGAGCTTAATCGCTGAAATGTTCTGATCTCGAACACAGTAGCTCACAGGAATATTAATGGCATGCTTGATATTGTGCTGGTTTTAGAGGGAGGTTTTGTAAGTACACTGCCCTCCAAAAGTTTGGAAACGCCTGAACAAAATAGGGTTTTTGGGCAATATCAGCATAAATCCTCTTTAGTTAGTGACCATTTTGCATTGATAATAAGGGACAACACTAGGCATCCGAGCAATCAGTTTATTCAAACATTGACTTGATATATTACTCCAAGCCTCCTGGAGGATTGCCCAAAGATGATTCAC